GTCCCTGTGCCTTCGCCCAGGCTCCCTTGGTTACGCAAACAGAAGGACTGAAATCCAAGGGGCCCTCAGGGTAGCAACGGAGCAGAACCCCACTCCCCGAGTTTAGTGTGACACGGTAAAGTGCTACCAGGACAAACGTACAATGCAAATAAAAGGTTTCTAGTGAAACGCGGTACCCTCAGCCCTCACTGTGTTGTGTATCAACAGTAAAATACAATCCATTTAATTTTGGCATCTGCCAGAAAATGTATGTTACTCTCAACTGTTAGTAGTGATGTCACAGCTCAAAAGTTTCACACTAGAAGCTGGAGGTGGCCACCACCTGAACACCTGTGGCAAACCACTCATTTACATTACCAGTTTGGAAACCTTAACAATTCTCTTCACTTTGCTTGCTTTCAGATCTTCAGGACACCAGCTCCCACCGCCCCCCAGATCTCTTCACTGATGTAATTTGGATTGAGACTTGTATAAACACAAGTTTTAAGCGACTTGTTTGGACTAGGAAACAATATACAAACTTTTATTTGAAGAAAATGTCTCAAATATGACAGTAACTTTGGTCATGTTAAAAGGAGGCCATCCAAGAACGAATAAAAATGAGCTGCTGTATAAGCATGGCCACATACAGTATATTCAGAGAGTAGCTGATAGAAGCTAAGGTTACACGCATAAGCAGGCCTCAGTACCATGCAAGTTCGACGCAATTTCATACATTCGTTATAAATTTTCAGTTATTTTCATGCCAAATCACCTCTTGGATAAAAAGGTAAGAAAGAGGTAACATCTAAATGTGACAAAAACTGAACAGAAAAATAAGTACAGACAACATTTTTATTAGAAAAGATCTTGAAATTACACCTGTTCAAGAAGTGTTATACGATCTCTGATGTCTCCTTCAGTGGGAATTAGTAGTGTTAAGCATTGTTACATATCAAAAAATACAACTCTGTTTTACAACATAGTACTGACATATTCAAAGTACTGTGCCAAATTATAAATAGTAAAATCAAGTTTTGAAGAATTTCAATAGAAAGCAACTTATGTTCACACAAACATATGCACATAGTATAGTTATGTAACAAAAGTTTTATAAAAGGAAACAAATTTACCCCATGCCAGCTTGAATTACTGAGGTGGGATTCAATACCGATAATGAAGATTGACGGGTCATTTCTTTAAATATATTAATTAGTCTCTGGAAAAAATAAGACAAAAATTTACTTTCACCAGAATCTACACCAGTCTTCACTAACAAACCATTTCTCAGTCATGACTGACATCAGTTGGTCCTTATGAAAGTGGCTTTTTTTTTTTTTAAGATCTTGCAATAAAAAAAATGGTCCATTAGACTTCAAAAATTCAATCAGCTTCTGCTCCACTGCAGAATAATCCTACGCATTGCTTCTACCTAGAGTAATCTTCATCATCTGTCATCTGTAATTGTAGACAGTCACATCTTCCACTGTGACTCAAGGTGCAGCTACAAGTAGAGAAGTGCTTAGATACTCAGTCACTTCAAATACACTTGTTGAAGACTGCTACTAGTGCATAATCAAGTTGAAGATCCTCTTACTGATCATAATGGTTTGTCAATAACTGTGACACCTAGAGTAAGGAAAAAAAGGCATAAATCTTCAGGTACTACTTTTAGAAAAAATTCAAGACTATGAAAATAGAGTTTTAATATAATACCTAGCAACTAGCATAACATCAAAAAAATGGACACCAGCAATGAGTGTTCACATTTTCCTCAAATTATCCTTGACAGAAATTTGAATCAGTGCAAAGTTCTGAAAGTCTAAGTGACTTGAAAAAATTTGCCATTACTTGTTTAATTTTATCACAGTGAAATAAATCCTTAACATTCACTTCACTCGTTTGAGAAACTGCAGTTATTGAAGAAAAAGATTCCTGAAACAGCTCTTGTTTTCAAAATATCAAATCCCAAGGAACTTCAGAGTCAAAACCCCATAGATTCAGACAAATCTCCTGTTTAAAAAAAAAGGACCGGTCATACCAGAATCATCTTTCTGACTCACCACTTACATGCCACACCCCTCTTGAGTAGAGTTTAATACCCTTTTTTTTTTCCTTGTCATGAGTAACTTGTCTGAATTCATCATTCAAAACTCACCATCAGATTCTTCATACCCATTCTAATACCTTAGGTTTTACCTTAGACAGGACTTTGTTTGGATGCTTTCCCACATTTACTATCCTAGCTGTTATACTGTAAGAAGTATCTATGCACTTCACCTGCATAGCTCCTTCCCGTACTCATACAAGATGACACAACTGTCCATTTATCAGTTGTGGGATTATAATACTCCACTGTTGATAAGTTACAAGAACCGTCATCTCCTCCAACTACATACAAGAGACCATTTACAGCACAAACACCTAAAAAAAAAGAGACAGGAAACCAGTATGAACAATTTGACTTGTTCACCCCATAAAAGCATGGTTTCTATTCTGCAAGATCAAGAAAGCAGCAAAAATCCAGGAACACACCATTTACACCCAATAATATTACCACTATTGTAAAGTACTTGCTGGCTATACCTGCATTCCTCCTGCACATGTTCATGTCTGCAACCTGCTTCCACGTACTGGCAACGGGATCAAACACTTCCACACTTTTTCTTACCAAAGGACCATCATGACCACCTACTGCATACAATAAATTGTTCAACACACCAACACCTGTGGACACAGGAAAATACTCAAAATTAACCATGGTTAATTAATGGTTTGACTGATGTGAAGGAGAAACAAAAAATATTATGTCCGCTCACATAAATCCTTCATCCAGTCAACGTTACGAAATATTTCAGAAAATGTTTGGGTCCAGATCCATTAAAGCAAAAAGACAGTAACTACAGCAAGACACTGATAAAATATCTTGGGTGCCCATCTACCACATTGCACCGTACAAGGACCAGAGCAGTTCTGCAACAGAAGACTTGGAAACCTTTGGACGAAAAACGATATGCGGGAAAATGAGGACTGTTGAAATTTAGGACTAACAAGAATTGACAGTAAATGAGACAGTGTGCTCAGCCAGCATAATGGAAATCTGACAAGATGGAAAGGGATAAGTGAATTATTAGAAAGTAAAAACTGTGCAGTACGGAAGATTACAGCTGCGTGGATAGACATTATACAATAGGGATGCTTCCACTCAAGTGTTGGAATACCATGTAATCATATATATGAAACAAAAGTAAAGAGAGTGAGCACCTTATTCCTCCAGGATTTGGAGGAGAACACCAAGCTTCCTTGGACCAAGCTTCAGTTATCAAAATATCCAAAAGGATATTAAATGGTCTCCTTTGCTCCTACTTTACTTTAGAACAGAAGTTTATCAATATGTAAACTTGGGATGAAGGAATAAAGTTAGTCTACATCTACTTGCTAATTGGGCTGTGCATATTGAAAAGGTGTAATAGGGGTAGCAGAAAGGAAAGCCTGTTTATTTATTCCTCACTTTATAATGTACTAGTAGAACCCAAACATAATAGATTTCAGACATGTCAGGTTTGTTTTGATTAAAACTCATAAGTGATGGACCATAAAAGACAACTGGAAAAAAACACTACTATGAAAGTACATGGGGCACAATTTAATATACATCACATTTAAGACTATGAAACTCAAAGCTGGGATTCAGATTTGAAAATATAGTTCTTAAAGGGTTCCATGGGAAGGGCACAGGTTATCTTTATTAAAGGGAAATTGCAAATGAGTGCAAAAGATCAATTAAGTCCTTCAGAGGAAAAAAAAAAAAACCGGGGTTAAAAAAAAAAAAAAGAACCCCGAGAAAGTAATAAGCA